TGTTTGTTTGTTTTTCGCCTGAACATACTTGTACCGGAATAACACTTTCTGCCCTGTTGTAGCGCACCATTGAGTGCATACATAAATAAATAAAATAAGGACGTCTGAAACTGAATTCAATCATCGTTTCCTAAGAAAATGAAAGACAAACCCGTTTTTGAATTCGAAATTGTGCACGAAAGAATTGTCACGTTTTGCGAAGAAGCGTGTTCGAAAATTCCATGTTTTTTGATCCGTTATAACATCGAAAGAGGGATGTGACGGACCAATAATCTACCAGGCTCAGGCTGATCACGAATGGACCTGGAGGAAATGCTTCGCGCGCGAAAGGCGAAGAAGTCGCTTTCTGTCCTAGTGAACCACCCACCCACAGAAACAGACAATACATATTCCTTTACGAGGGAGAGTAAGATTGGGTAAACTGGCACATTCGGTGTTTGCCATTACGAAATCCTAGGGGCGACGTCGAGCTGAGTGCGAAGTATGCGGTTGCGGCGGGCACGCATGTCACGTCAGGGTTACGGTAGCCCATCTGCAGGATGCTGAAGTTAGATTCTGTGTGGAGACTGCTGCCTGCCGCTATGGTGTCACGAGAATTGAGGGAATTCGTGAGCCAGGGGGAGTGTAGCCAATCAGGTGAGGGGGGGGGGTGAGGGCAGTCACTTGACATGCGTGAAAAGCTGGAATGTAAGAGTTACTTCATATGCGTCTCGTAACAACGTGTAAGAGTCCAGACAGAGAGCACATACTTTGTGCGTTTCGATGACTGAAGCCTTCTAAAGGAAGGAAAGAAAGCAGAGATGCTGTGTAATAGTGTGCATATGCGAGAGTGCCAGAGAACACTACAAAACGCTGAATCACCAAGCCTTCCGGTTGACCGCTGCCCTTGGACGAGTAGCGGGCAGCAGTTCCCAGTTACACACATTTCGCTCCTACCGTATGCAAAAATTCTGCGTACATCCCACTTGTATTGCACCGGGAATGCTATTCTAAGATTTGAAAATGGGCTCAATGCCAATACATTATTGCGATAACCGCCGCCAAACACGAAAATTACCTTTTGATAGGTGACGGGTTTATAAAATGCCGTCAGCCGATTGAAACGCGATGACCACATGGCCACAGTTGATCACCGAGCTCGAAATGGCTAGGTTAGCATAGCTGACCACTGCGAATGCGTGCATGTCGACCGAGAAGAGGTTGAAATAGTTGTACTTTTTTGGGTTTTGTATCAATTCAATTGATAGGAATGAGTGGAAGTCAGCAATAGCTTGGAGTAGAAACAGCAAATAATAGGAGGATTTGAACTGTCTCATGTCTGCAGCGGCTCCTCGACGCCACTTCAATAATTTGTACACCAAATACGAGTACACGCACATTGAAATCCATCCGTAAATCGACAGCAGTACTTGTCCTGCTGGGAGAGCAGCCATTGTTCTGAAAGCAATTATCCTGCTATAAAATGGCTGACACCATTTTGGTTCTTTAGTATACATACTAGATATCAGTTTGTACGCCGACATTGCAGAGTTGCCATTCCCTGGACCATACAGTCGAAGACGAAATTCGCACACCTCAAAGCTACAGCAAGCCGTTTTTCTATGGGGGTTTTCTTGGGCATTTTATCAAACTTGTCCGGGGCATAAAAAATAGAATGCACATCGACTATGCCCGCAAGTGATGGTGTAGGCCAAGCAGTTGCCGTTCAAATGTCGCTACACTTCTAAATGGAACGAGAAGACGTGGCGCATTCCAAAAAGTTGATGTCAAATGTTTTCCGCATATTCATGAAACACCCGTGGTGCGTTATGTGGGTAAAACAGAAAGAAAAGGATAATGCATGACCAATCCCTTGGCACGCATCTTTCGTAATGGCACTTGAATGCGATGGGCCTATACAATGACTTGCGGGGCCAGCCGATGTACAAGTCAGTGTTTTATCCTCCCAGACAAGTCTGGTACCAATTAACCGACCCCGGAGGGATGGAAGGCTTGGTTGGCCCACTCACGACCCAGGATTTGATCCCCGGACCGCGCGTGGTAAGCGCGCCACTTGCCACTACACCACTTCCGCCTCAAAAGCAGATTCTAGCGAGAAAAGTATGCGATCAACATCAATACTTCCAGATTGTTACTCAAATGGTCGTGCAGAAGTGCTCTGTATCCACGCTAAACATTGCTGATGTAACGCATTGTCTGGAGCGATATGGGGACACGATCATTGGGAAAGTGAGGTCTGCGAAACCTACCGTAAGCAAGTTTTGGAATAAGTAAAAGAAAATAAAAAGAAAAAAAAACAACAGGAAAGAATATCAATAGATGTTGAAGTTTATCAAATTACATAGCTCCGCACTACGCTAAATTGAAGGCTTGCACATAACCCTCTGATTAACACGATATGAAATGATGGAGAATTGAGGAATAGGTTGAGATAATAGGTTGTCGCATTTGCATTTTGCATTTGCAAACTTGCATGCCTGAAAATATACGCTCCCATCCCACAGCATGAAGTAGTAAAGTATGTCTGCAAACTTTTTATGCCTTCAGAGCCGAAACTGTGCTCGGATTGCGCAACGAGTTATAACAATGATAACATCAGCCAGCCTGCTCAGTATTTCAAGGCCTACCTCAACACGGAATAAATGGCCCTACAAAAGGTCGGCACCAACCTTGATTGTATGGGTAAGAAAGAGCTGTCGTGGTTTTCTTGTGATAACGCTTCTTAGACAAGTGAAAAAGTGACATAGTGCCTAATGATTATCCTTGTACTTCCACATAATTCAATGTTGGGAAGCTTGCAATGATAAATTACTTTGTAAGTGTAGAGTGCTTTCAACAGCAAGCGCATTAATTGCTACAGTATACTGATAAACCACGAAATAACAATAAGTTACATTTAACTGCTCCTGGTTTGTTTTTTATCAATTGCTAAATTGCGATGTGGACCAAAACTATGTTGACCAAGACATTATGTGCAAAGAAGCCTTCAAAAAGACTTTTTCTGATATCATAACACGAAACTTAAAACCTGTCATTCTCTGCGTCTACGGCGACTTTAAGATGAAGCGAATACGAATACCAGCTGGAAAATGTCCCGCACAAACTCCTCTGAAAAAGGGAAGGAGGCATATACGCGCGCTGAAACGGCAAATTTTCTCTCGTGCCGCTCCCCACCATCTCATCACAACTGCAACTTCTACAACTGAAGCAAGTACGACCCCCCCCCTCTACAAACTCATCAAATACGACCCCCGTTGCTACTTGTAGCAACATAGGGTTGACCCTGTTCCCGTGCGAAGCTCCACCCACATTGGGAGGGCGAATGTCGGACGCGGCATGCCATAGTCTAGCTCAAATGCGCTGGGTAAGCTTGCTTGAATCTCAAAGCAATGTAAATGAGAAGAACGAGCTTTTTTATCTGTCTTGCATGCCGCGATTGACTACTACGTCCCATGGAAGAAAGTTCCTTGCGTGAAATCAATCCACCTTCCCAGGCATTCGCAGAATATGTGGGAGCACAGAGAGTGTTTATTTAACGAAGCCAGATAATCCTGAAATTTGGATAAATATAAAGCTTTCACAAAGAGATTTCACACACATCTCAAAAAATGTAACGATTTTATTTAGAGAGAAAAATTATTGAAACAGGCAAGTTTGAGTCTTCTACAAGTATTTGAGTGGGATGATTCAGGACTTCAAGGGGATCGGTTGTCTGAGAAGGGAGAGATTTGTTGCAGTCTCTCCAGTAGATAAGCCAATATGTAGCCGAATATTTCGAGAGCGTCTTCCAGGAAGATGATGGGACCATCCCTGATTCGTTCAGTCCATCTGTTGAACCTATGAAGAAGATTCCCTAGTTCATCGCCTGTGAGCAGTACGAGCTATTGATGAATGGCCTGGTTCCTCCTCAGTCCCCCGATTTTGTGCCGTTTTTTGTCGTACAGAAAATAGCTGCTGTTATTTGCGGTCCTCTTGCATATATATTCAATCAGTCGTTATGCTTCGGAGAGGTACCCTTGCGTGGAAACACTCTTTGTTACACCGCTACTGAAGAAGGAACCATCATGGAACCCCGAGAATTATCGCCCAGTGAGTATCACATCTTGTTTCTGCCGACTGTTCGAGAAAGTCTTGAAAAAACATGTCAGTCATCATTTGTCGGTCAATCATATAGTTTCAAGACATCCAGCACGGTTTTACTCCAGGTCTCTCACAAATATGATTGAGTGCCTCAACGACTGGACTGAGCTATTGATGAGAAGCTCTCCTGTGACGTCATTTACTTTCGACTTTGCAAAAGCGTTCGATAGGGTTTCACACAAAAACTGATCATCAAGCTGGAGGCTTCGAAGTTCCACCCGGTTCTTACGAAGTGGATCTCTGAATACCTGAGCCTTAGGGTAAATCAGGCTTCTTCTTTGATGTTTTTACTGTCGAGCTTCCTAATATGCTTCATGGAGCAGGCGTTACTGCATGCAGACGATAAAGTTTATAAGCCAATCTCAGCAGTGGCAGATTTGCAGAAACTTCAGGAAGCAATTGACCTAACGGTAAGCTGGTCCAAGAAGTGGCAATTGCCTATAGCACCACACAAGACAGTGTACATGCAATTAATGTCTGGAACTTCACCAACGCGATCCTACACTGTTGATGGTGTCCCTCTCTCTCTGCTGTAGAATCTGTCAGAGACCTCGGTTTTCATTACAACAATAAATTGGACTTCACGGAACACATCAAAGCGAGGGTCAGAATGGCTAATTTACGAACTTTTCAAATTTTCAAAGGGCTCTCCTCGCAAACAAAGAGTTTTGCTGCGTGCTTACAAGTCGTATGTGCGACCCCTGGTTGAATCCAGCACTACGATTTTCAATAGCCTGAAAAGAAAGCATGTCTACGCGCTGGAGAAGGTTCAGAATAACTTTACTCGTAAACTACTTATTGGCTTTTTGTACGCCAAAATACCGAAAGCAGCCATTAGGAATCATTATCTGGGACTGACATCTTTAGAATTGAGGCGCAGAGTTTTTGATATCTGTATGGTTCATAAACTGGTACAGGGCATGTGTGGTCACGGCTCCAATATCTTCAAGCTGACATATTCGAGAACTAGAGGAGGCTCTATGAAGATTTCCTTGGCAAGACCTAAAACTAACTTACGAGCGAGGAGCTTCACTTTTAGGGCTGGCAGTGATTATCTGAAATTAGTGAAAAATATACCCGCCTCACTACCGCTATCTACCGCCGTGTAGTTAACTTGCTACGAAGCAATGCCGAGTCCTAACGTTTTCTGAGACTGATTAGCGAACCATATTATCTTTGGTTTTACGTAATTGGTTGTTTGTATAAGCGTTAATAGTTACGTTGTGTTCTTTTTCTCACGTTTGCCTTATGTAGACGTAATAAACTCATAAACTCATACTCATACTCAATTGTAGCAAAATGGGCGGTGCCGAGCGGAGGAAGGAGGAAAAGCCCTTAGGCCCGCAATCAACAAGTGAGTTCTTTCAGAGTGTGGAGCGCTTCTTCAAAACGGTTTCCTGCGTGTTGCAGAAACTCATGAGTAGACTGCAAGAGCGATGTTCATTTTCGCTGAGCTGCCCGGTGAAGGCCAAAAGGTACTAAGAAAATAGTTAAAGGTCCAGAATATTCCA